CGGGTAATCGCCGCCATAACCGCCGGTGTACGGAGGAGCCGAAGCATACGTGCCTCGGGTGAGATCCGCCGGAGTTGGCGTTGGAGTCGGGTTTGGATTCAGATTCGAGTCGGGATTCGGGTTAGAGTTTTGGAATTGAGCATACTGGTGATAATAGGAATTGTAGTCTCCTTGTTGCATCTGTGATCGGTGATCGGAAAATTCTCAGGCTTTGATCCGAGATTGCTTTGATCGGATGATCGGAGAGACGACGAAGCGTGTGCGGAAAGTGGAATACAGATCGAGGTCAAGTGAATATTCGGTCGGACTATAAATTTTACATTTCGGACACGTGGCAACATCTTCACCGTCGGATTAGACGCAAGTTGTTATCTTAAGCGCGACGGAAACGCAGCAGATGATTCCAGCGTTTGGCCTAAAACGTCATGTTTTTCTCAATCTCTCTGTTTCCATCCGTGAAAAACGGGATGCATTCCACCCATCATGCAACTTTCAGCGTAGTGAAGTTATATGGAAAATTCCGGATATTGTTTAAAATTTGAAATTCAATGGAAAAAGAGACAAAGTGACAAAATCAATTAAATTAGTTGTAAAATTATTATTTAAACTTTTCATATTATATTATCATTAGTATTGATTCATGGGCCTTAAACATTTTTAAGAATGAATACCTAGGACCAAAAAGCCCAATACTAGGCCCAATCGAGAGTTCGGTTAAGGCGTAAATACCGAAATAACCCTACGCTAAAAAAATCACGATTAGGGTTTTTATTTCCCTTTTCCTCCATGTGAACGACTTTGCCCAAGTCGGCGGATCTCAGATTCCACGCACGCGTCTTTATATACGGCCTTTACGCTTCTCTTCCGTTTATCAAATTCTCTCTCCTCTCTCTCTCGCTCTCTGCGAAGCGATTAGGGCTGAAGGTGCTACATTAGGGTTCCTGGTTTTCGTTTTGTGGAATCTTCGATTTCGTTTGTTTCGCCCCTTATATCTTGCCTGGTCTTCTGAGATTCCCTGCGTTGTTCGCTGAATCGAAACTAGGGTTACGGATTTCGTTTAGAATTAATCGGAGAAGGAAGAAAAAAATGTCGGGATATTTCCCTGCGAGGAACTGGGCGAACGGTCAGAACTTGGTCGAATCGACTAAGGTTTGTTGAGCCAAATCTGATTTCTTGCTCGGTTCTGTTTCGTAAACCTTTGGCTAAACCTGGGTTCCATATACTCTCTGACCTAAATTTTTTTGTAAAAAATGTTATGAACCTGTTTATTCCTCCGGTGAGTATGGTTAAATTGTGAGTGCGGGCTTGGTTTCGATATCGTATCTTGTTTTCTTCTAAGTGGTGGAACATGTTAGAACCTGAATTTGTTCTTGTTTCTTGCGTTGATGACGCCAATTATGCTTGTAGATCCATAAGGCTGGCACATGTATGTATATATGCATATTTGCATGTGCTGTTGATTTATTCCTAAGCCTAACGGTTGCGAATATGGGTCTTGAGAATCCAGCAAGTTGTGAGGTATTCTTCATGTAGCATCAGTTTGGTAGTTAAGGCTACCTGGAACGTGTATTCTTTGACTTAACATGGTGATACTTGTTCGGGCACTTGTGTATGGGGCATTTGTTGGTTAAATTTGTCATCTTTGTGCCCTGTTTGGATGGTGTTCCGACATGAGTGGGTGGTTAAATCCTCTATTCTGATGGATTAAAGATTGGAAGACTTAGAGTCGATCCCAAAAAGGCACACCGGAAAGAGAAGGAGAAGAAGGAGAAAAGGAAAGATAAGAAAGAAAGGCACGAGAAATCCAGAAAATGTCTGGAAAAGCTTGACAACAATCTTGAACAACAATATCTTCCTTTCAAGAAGATCCAAGACGAGTCCGAACAACGAGAGAAGAGTGGTTTGACAGAAGAACATGAGCAACCTCAGAATCTTTGTTATCTATCTGACGGGAGTCAGAGCAATAACAAGAGGAAAAGACAGGAACCACCTGCAGTTGATAGTCATATCAAAGGTTTGCCGTATGACTTCATGGACCAGAAAGTTGACGTGTTGTCAAATTTGTTCGTTGGCTCAATTTTTTATCTTTCAGGTAAACCGCTACGAATCCGGTTTGTCTTCAGAAAACCCAAAGAACCTGAGGCTGTGCCTCAAGAGGAACGAGTTTGCTCTCCTTCAGTAGCCCGAGACACCAATGTGAGTTGTGTCCCGAGTGGAAAGACCTCTGAAGAGGAAGAGAATCTGCCCTCGACTTCCCGAGGGGACGAGAGCATTGCAATTACCATTGACACCAAACGGAAAAAACACAAGAGGAGCAAAGAATCACGGTATAATGCATTGTTTGAGGGATGGGTTCCTCCTCCCCTTTGTCCTAGTGTGTTGGATATCGATGATGAAGATCAAGATTGGCTCTTTAGTAGTAAGAGGCAAGGACAATCTACTGCTGAAACAGTAGAGACAGACAAAGACATGACCATGAACTTGGTTAGTTCGGGAGATCCCCTTCGGCCTAAAGCTCAATTTTTGTCTGAAGTGGGCATCTATGCTTTACCCTATACGACCCCTTTTTGATGTTCCATTGCATTGATTCGTTGTTTTCCCGGCCTATAGCGACATAGCTCTGGTTAAAATTGTACAGTTACAGATCAATACACAATATCGATTTATCCTCACATTTTCTTTGGTTCTTAAGCTGATTGTGAATGGGTTCTGTTCGGTTTGTGTTGATGGAATTGAAACCAAACTCTGAAAGGAATCTAAAGTGGACAATTTAAGAGTGAACAGCCGAGAAAAGGGTTTGATGGGCGAGAAATATGATCCGACCAAAGTTGTGGAACCCATTCTTGAATCAATTTAACTTTTTGTATGTGTGCGCGTGTATATATTGGAACTTGAGCAAGTATGTGAATATCCTCGTATTCGGACACGTCAGATTCATCAGAGGAAACAGAGTGTTTTAACAATGCCTGCAAGACATGAAACTCAAATGTCAAAAGAGCCAACAAATGCAAACAGTCCATCCAGAAGCAATTTCATATTATCCAAATCATAGCTTAAAACGGCAATATTACAATGGAAATAATCACCTGCCGAATACAAAACAAATCCCCAGCAACAATGAAAAGAAGATTAGTCTACATAACCAAGTATTTCATCCTTCTTCCTTTTATCTCTGAGGTTATAAAATGCTCAAACTCACTAAACCCCTGGAAATCAGCTTCACCACCAACAAGAGTTGAAGAAAAAAAACGAGCAAGCTATACAAAACGCTGGGCCGATGATAATAAGTAAACAGGGTACGTGATGAACAGCCAAGAGAAGAGGTTTCTGAATTCATGCCAACTTTTTTTCAGATTTTGTTTCTTCTTCTTTTACCTATATGTTTTTTTCAAGTGATCACAAGAACGAGCATCGGTTCTTGTTCTTTTTCTTCTTCTTCTGCTTAGGAGGTTGAAGCACAACTTTAATGGCGGCGTCAAACACGGCCTTCACGTTCTGTAAACGCAAATGTGGCATTAGAACTTCATTCTTTCGCAAAGATTCAATGTGACGGATTCACTCATGCGTACCTGCTGAGTTTTTGAACTGCATTCAATGTAGACTGGAGCCCCAATCAGTTTCCTTAGTTCTTCACCCTTCATTATTCCATAAAAAAACAAAAAAAAAGGGGGGGGGGGCAAAAATTAGGCATATTGAGAACAGAGAAAAGACAGAATTAACATTCAAAGAATGTCGGGTTCCAATCAATTTCCTTACCTGGTTTGTAGTAATCGGCACCGCACCAGGATGGTCTATGAAGAACTGTTTGTCATCTCGAAGATCTGACAATACCAAAACACAAAAACAAAATGACAATCTCCTTCAATGATCAAAATTAATCAAGAAAGTTGCTCAAGTGACAAGAACAGCAGATCAAGATTACTTATAGTATGAAGCTCCTTATGATCTATTTTTTTATTATCAGGGAAGATTTCTGGATTAAGGACAAGGGAAAGATACCAAGTTTTGTTCCAACGAGAATAATTGGAACGCCAGGAGCATAATGCCTGAGCTCGGGGATCCACTGCAACAAAGCATGGAAAGCAAATCAAATTAGAAAGGTGATTTCGTTCAAATATAATCCATAACGAGAAGAATATCGGAGTGAAATGAGCAAAACCTTCTTGGCAACGTTCTCATAACTGGCCTTGCTAATAAGTGAGAAAGCAAGAATGAATACATCCGCACCACGGTAACTCAATGGCCGTAGCCTGTTGTAGTCTTCCTGACCTGCTCGAAAACCCGAGAAGTAAGTCAAGCACGAAACAAGAAAGTTTCGGGGATAAACCCGAAAAGGGTTTCAGACGAATTACCAGCAGTATCCCACAATCCAAGATTGACTGTGTTCCCATCAACCACCACATTTGCACTGAAGTTGTCGAAAACAGTTGGAACATAGTCCTGTCAATCAGACACAAGCTGCAGATTAAGCTCTAAGTGAACAGCAGATTTGAGTTCGATGATCAGTTCTCAGGAAATGTTCTCAATCCAAGCGGGCGATGTGACCAATGAACAGAAGAATTCAATCCAGAGTAAGCATCAAAATCTAGAGAAAACATCAATTTTTTGAAACAATACTAACAAAAACAACAAGATTTATCAATCAAAAACCATCGATTTTGACAAGATGGTCCAAAGATATTCAGTGTACAACATATTTTCAGATGATCGACCATAATCCTCCTGAAGAACAACATCAATTTTTGAGCCAAACAAATTCGAACAATGGCAAACAGGCAAATTCAGATAATGAAAACATTACATTTCCTAAAACCAATTTGACAGAAAAACTTCCAGATCATATATCTACATTCTTCAAATATTCTCTAGACCCCCAAAAAAGATTTAGCAACAAGAACCAGAAAGAGAAATTGGCAAAGAAAAGAAATTTAGAATTACCGTGGGAAAAGTGTTGCTGGTGTAAGAAATCAGCATGCAGGTTTTTCCGACAGCACCATCGCCGACGGTGACACACTTTATGAATCTCGACGCGCTCATCTCCGCCGCTACGCCGCCGGATCCAGAAACCCTAAAAAATCTCTATGAGTCCCAACTCAAACCTTCTTCTTCCTCCTTCAAATCCCCGCCATTTCACAAGAACCCCCAAAGACGAAACCTTTTCTCACCCGCTCGCCGGACCCTAATCGAATTCGAACGCGAGGCTTCAGAATCTGATGAACCCGAATCGCAGAAACGGGGAAATTTCAAAATGGCGAGAGAGTTTGGAGAAAAAAGATTTGCCTTTTCTATCTTTTTGGCGGTTGGAGACATTGAGATGAGCTATACATACAACCTTAGGCCAGCTCATTCAACATCTTTACCTTATCATACACACTCGCCATTTTTTTTCTTTTTCGGGAAAATATAAATAAATTATGTATTTGTCCAAATGCATAGGGAGAATGAGAAAAAAAATTATAAGACTTTTTGAATAATTAGAAAAATTTTGTTATTTTTAAACTATCAATTTTAAATGATTCGAGTTAATAATATACTTTTAAAGTGTATTTCTTATATGTGAATATATGATTGTTGACTGGATCTTGCTTAATTTTAAAATTTTCACTTTTTTTAAAAAAATATTTTTTTCAAATTAGCCAAAATAATTGATATATTTTTCAAATTTTAACATTTAAAAAATATTTGTTGGTCTCCCAAATATATGTATATTTTGGGTAATTCAACGCATTACTATTTAAACGTATGTATGTATTAGGTACATCAACACGTAATTAATCAAATTACTATTTACTCTGTCATTCGTTTTTCTATTTTTTTATCATTAATTTTATTTACCTATTTCAGAATATATAATTTTTTTGGCATGTAATGAAAAATGCAAATTCAGCAAAATGAATTAACATATCACATATCTCTACAATATAAAAAAAATGTACCAAATGCTTCAAAATATGACCTAAATTGTTAATAAATCCTATGTTCATAATTATATAATTGTGTGTGTGTGTGATTTTAATTTTTAATGGCTCTAAACAAAACAAGAACAAAATTATATAATAAATAAAATATGACATGGAGTGTCCATAAAAAATAGAGGGAGGCATGAAAAGAGTAATTGAAGGAATATCCATAAAAATATTATACGAAGGCATATTAAAGGAGAAATCATTATGGACGTGCGAGGCAGTGTTAGTGTTACGGCACTATTTTCATTTTCATTTAATTTAAGTTGTTTTTATGTATATTTTTATTTTACTCTTCAATCATATCGGAAATGAAAATGTCTGGAAACGTGCCAAACTCTAATTTAGCTCATCTCCCGATCGTGACACGACACGTCATCATTTGTCCCTCGGCTACATATGTATATGTATATTAAAAAATTTCATATAAATACAGTAAAAATATTAGAAAAAATATGAATTTTAAACTTTCGGAAAAAAAAATACTAATTATTCAGTCAATTGTTTTTATACAAATATTATGTTAATGTCACGGTATCAACGTTTGTATGTAATTTAAACATGTCCGTAACTCTGAGTTTGCTGAATACATACATACATACATACATACATACATACATACATACATACATACATACATACATACATACATACATACATACATACATACATACATACATACATACATACATACATACATACATACATACATACATACATACATACATACATACATACATACATACATACATACATACATACATACATACATACATACATACATACATACATACATACATACATACATACATCTTTTTGGTCAAATACAAGGAAAAGAGTTAGATGAATGTCTTTATACATGTTTCGAGTTAAGAAAATTCCAATTCTATAGATGAATGTCATATTTTATGTATAATTAATATTCGAATAGAAATATTTTGGGAAGTCACGTAACAAAATTAATATTTGAAATATAAAAGAGGGATTATAGACTAGTGGCACTAATTGCGCAATTAAGGGGAAGATATGAGCTAACCAATCATCATAAAGGGGTTAGCTCCATCATCCATGTGCCTGCCCTTACCAGCTCTCCACCAACTGTTGTCTTTTTCATCATTATCATTATTATTAAACACCCTTTGTATTTTCTATTTTGCAAATTATTATTTATGTTTTCTAAATTCTTATCATTAGGTTACATGACAAATTAATAATGAAAAGGTTGAAATTTGTGAGAATAAATTATATATTATCATTGACGACAATCCTAAGTTTGTACAATTGACCCATAATACTTGTGTTCACTAAAGGCCCATTACAAGGCCCATTATTGTCGAGGCCCATTGCTATGGCCCATTATGATGAATACCCCCGAATGTTCCATAGACAGAAATTTCATTTGGAATAAGATTTGCCAAAACGGTGTTTATTGTGAACTCTAAAGAAGAAGAAGAAGAAGAAACCATATTGTGATCAAGAAGAGGTCCGCCATTGAAGCTCGATCTGAATTCGGCCATTCTTGGAATCGATTAGATGATACTTCTCGTTGATCCTTCGGTTGGTCACAACGTCAGCAAGGTTAATCACCACGTAACCAAGAGTTTCCTGTTCAAATAAACCATGTTCTTCATTACAAGTTCTCTGCAGTTGTCCGAACAGCATCATCAGATCTGAAGAAGATGAGGTTTCTTACCTTTGGACGAATCAATCCCATCCGTGAAGAAGTGCTTATGACTTCGACGTGAAGCTTATCGTTCGTCGGCGGCTCGTCCAACGTGAACTGGAAGTCTTCGTCCCACCTCGGATCTCGGTTTTTCTTTACACGCTGCAATCAAGAACACGTTGAATCGTCGATATAAGGCAAGAAAAGATGATGTCTTTGATGTCTTTGCGAGGAAAAGGAGCAATTTTTATGAAGTTTTTCCATAGACGTACCCTGGTTTTTCTCTCCTCTCCTCTGAACAGCAGCCGGACGTAAGGATTCGTGTGATATTTCCCTTCTACTTCCTCAGCTTCATGTACGATAACCACGAGCAATCCACCGCCGGAAGGTGTTCCGTCAGGTGCCTTCTCTACTGCACTTGGATCGTCCAGGTTGTCTGGAACAGCATCCTCCTTGAAGGGTTTGTACTCCACCTCCACCACGAGCTGCCCACGTGATTTCTCACTCGGGGGTTCTTTCGGGTCCATTGATTTCAACAGTTCAAGGGTCATAACTTTCGGCTCCTCAGGCTTAAGGTCTTTTAAAGGGATCACGTTCATTCCTATCTTATCATGTTTCCCAACCTGCATGAACAAAAAATCGGCTAGAACAACATCAACAGGCCAAGCCATGGATCTCCAAGAAAAGGGCATCATCATATGAGAGCTTAATAGTTTTATGATGACAGCGTTCAATAGTTTGATAGGAATTGTGTGCATACATATAGGAGAAATGTATGTTTTATACAATAGATTTACCTGTTCCCAGTCATAGACAATCAGCTGCAACTCTTGGCTGTCTGGATCTTTCACGACCATGTTGAACTCCTCGTTCCATTCAGGGTTCAGGTTACTGTGTTTCACGACCGTTTTCTTGCCTGGAACCTTGTCCCCGGTTAAGGTTAGCTTCACATAAGGGTCTGAACCTCCAATAAGATCCTTCTTCTTGAGTTTAATCGCCTTTATAACCTTCACATCGAGTATCCCAACCGGTTTCATCATGGCTCTGCAGGTCATGAAATCGAAATTTAGCAAAATTCTGTGGCAAATACATTCAAGTGATAAAATGAACGAGACATGAGATCAAAGTACTTAGAAGGATCCATTATCTGCACATTCAAGGTCTTTGGCCACAGGTACATGTTTGCAACCTGGTCTTTAATCAGTTCCTATAGTGACAAGGAATCCAAGAAACCCAAAAAAAAAAAAAGATTTTCCCGAAGTGGTAAGTTTTCGATTTTCGACTTTGGATCAGAAGAAAAAGATGCAAGTTCAGAAACTTACCTGCACAAAACCATATAAGCCAGGAATGGCCATGACATCTATGCCCAGTAACTTCAGTCCGAAATCAACATGTGGCTGCAGAACAATTTGAAGCGACCAGAGATGTAAAAAACTAGATGGAATCTTGAACTAGGAGTGGGCGTACCTGCGGGTTTTCGAATACCGATTTCATCGTTATCCGGCCACCAACAATGCCAAAGAAGGGTGTGGCGAGGCGAGGAACCCGGACCATGGGTTTGAGTTCGGGTTTTTACGAACCACAACGGGTTACCCGCGGGTACAGTTACTTAGCAGTGAAATGGCATTTAAATCATACTTTGATTGTATTCACAATAATACCCAAGTAGATTTTAGTGTAAAAGTGCCATTATACCCTAAAATCAACTCGAGATGATAAAAGTTTGGTCATTTTTGTGGATTTGGATACCGGCTTTCGACCATTGATACTAGGTAACGGGTACCCGAGTCTGACAAAGCCGAGACTGAGATAGGTCCACCATGAAACCCGTGGAGAAGAGGACGAGACCAGATACCTAAGAACTCGGTACTCGACCCGTGCCTACTCCTACCTTGAACATATCCCTTTTGTTTTGCGGTTTTAAACCAAAAAAAAAACAAACATCGGGATACCTTAGACATGAGGGACACGGCTATATTGGCGAAACACGGGAAAGATGGGACCAATGGCTTCAGAGTGATCCTTGGAGTGGCAAAAACTTGCAAATCTACCACCTGAATCGTCACAAATCATTTACATGTTTTCTTTACAGTTTTACTGTGATGAAACCGCCATTAAAAAAAAAGGTTACCTGAACAGTGGCTTTGAGCCCAAAGGCTTTAGCTGCAACAAGAACATTAGGGTTCCCTGCCCACTTCATTGACAACTCCATGATCAGTTCTTTGTCATCAGTTGAGTAAACCTTAATTCCTGCACTGAGATTAACCAATGATTAAGGCAAACCCACAAGAATTTCAACTACAGATACCTATCATAATGACCTACAAAGACAGAAATACGTAGAAGCATTGGTTTATACAGATTCATTCAAACAAGAACAACGTTACATTATGTTACAGTACAGATTAAAAATTCTAAATCAAGGGGATTATCTTAGTTTTTTACACATGTTGTAAACAAATCACAACAAACTAGTTAGGATTTTGTAACAGAAGTGGACATAGGTCCGATATATTAGATTTTCGGGTTATCCGAAATCCAAACCCGAACATCTCAGGCAACACAAAGATATTATCTAACCTGATCACATATCATATATTGTTCGGGTACCCTGACTCACGGGCCAAGTCGGGTATCCGAAATTCGTTTTTTTTTTCCAGTCCGAGAAAAGAGAAGAAGGGAAAGATAAAACCTTGGAAAGTAGGAGGTAGTGAACCCAAGGTGAGCTTCTCAAACTCTACAGAGTCTATTCTGTACTGTGGAGTTTGCTCATCAATCATAGGCTTCGCCATTGCCATCACCATCTTACATATCGCCTGAAAATTTTCGATTGAAGAAGCCATTATTAACATTAACCATTCATCAACACCGGAAGAGAAGAGAGTTTTTACCTTGTTTAGATAAGGCCACATATTCTCAATGAGCTTGTTAAGCCAATCAATCTTCAAAAGGAAACAGATTTGTTACACAAAAACCACCACAGTACTCAATCAAATTATATCATGGTAAGTAAAGATTGTGTATATATATAAACATACATACACGATCGAAATCCGGATTTTTCACCCACAGCGGTATTTCAGGAAACATTCTCCCCAGGCTCTCTGCCTCTAACTCCACTAAAGGTCTGATTTCTGGATCCTGAAGGATTCAAACAAATATGTATCTGTGAACCCAAATCATCAAGAAGAGAAAAACTTCACTGCATTACTTCATATAACAGAAGCAAATATCACTAAGAAAGCATTAAAATCATGCCCAACATACAAAAACCCAAATGTTTTCATAAAGAAAGCCCTACAGAAACATCATGTGTTCTTACACAAAACAAGAAACAATTTTCTTGTTTGAGAGGAACATAAGAGTGATCCTTGATCTGTTCTCGGCATAGAGCGAATGAGAAATAACTTTCCTTATCTGATAGTCAAAACGAGTGGGCCAACAAGACATTACAACAGGAATCTGTCTGATTCGAGACTCAGAAAGATATAAAGAATCGAAGGAAAAGAAATCATGAACGCATTAAACAAAGAACAAATAAAAAAACAGAAGCAGAAATGGAGAAAAGGAACATGCCTCGACATCAGTAGGTTGGGAATAGATGAAAAAGTAGTAGCCAATCACGATCCCAATCGTCGTACCCACGCAGAAACCAAACGCGCCCAACATCGTGCTGATTATACCCATCTCTCAAATCCCTAGAAAAATCGCCGATTTCTTCTTCCTCGAAGCTCGATAGCAAAATCCGATCCAAACCCGGATGATCAAATCGCATTAAAAACCTAGAAAACGACGAAGATCAGGGCACATCTACATGACATTGTCGTTAATGAGAGAGATAAAGAGAGAGGGGGAAGAATGCCATTTATGAAGAAATAAATAGTTTCACGTGGCCAATAGCAAAGCGTTTACGTTAGTACCACACCATTGATCTTCTTCTTCGACTTGAGAGTGATTTCGATTCGGTTCCTGTTGAAGAAAACAAATTCGAACGGATCCGAAAGGAAATGTTCAAGCGAGCGCTGTGTACGGACTAACGTCCACTTGTTTGATCGTGGAGAAGTAACATTTCTCGCTACGGATTTTGACATCTTTAAACGCCTAGTATTAGTAACATACATACACTACACACACATAACAGCCATATCTGTATTACTAATTAATGAAATTATACACACACACACCATTATTATTATTATTATTATTATTATTATTATTAGACAGGAGTAAGTTTTTTTCCGATAACTTGTACTCTAAGTAATCTCGATTTCATTGTTTTGGGCCTCAAGATGGGCCTTTTAGATTAAAGGAGTTCCACTGAGCCCATTCATGAAAAGGCCTTCTTAGGAAAGGCAACAACCCAATCTAATCTATACGGCCATATTAAATTAAATTTACCAAATTACCAATTTCATGACAGATTTGTTTTTAATTTAATATATTATTTTCTCAGATTTCCTTAGAATTTAACGCTATCATCAGTCAGGATGGCCGAGTGGTCTAAGGCGCCAGACTCAAGTTCTGGTCCTCGGTAGAGGGCGTGGGTTCAAATCCCACTTCTGACAAATATATATCTTTTCAATTTTTTTTATTTTTGTTATCTTTTAAATTTTATTGGCTCTGATTTATTATGGGAGATTTGGATCAAATTTCTTCGATTTTAGTAATATATTTTTATTTTTGATTGTATATCGATATACTTGGATATTCTATTTTTTTATTCTCATGATATTCTCATAATATTTTATATATTTGGATATCTATGAGAGATCTCTAAGAGAATGATTAAAGAAAAGAAAGATGAATGACAAACGATGTGAAAGCAAGGGGTAAGTGATACAGATATTTAAAATTTAAAAAATATATTTTATAAAAGAGTAAAGTTTCTTAAAATTAAATAACTTTTTTACGATTTGTATTTATCAAAATCTATCGTCAAGCCGAATTTTGAAACCCCCAATGACCCAATGAATGGTCTCTCTCTCATCAATTTCTTTTCCCATCAAATTGGAATTTTCAATACAGTTATTTTCGGTGGCATAATCTAATAGATACCATTAACTTATCGGTTGCTCGCCACTCGTTTATTTCACTTCTCTTTCAATTGGGCAATAATTATTTATATTCACGATGGGCCTCACGTGGTCATATAAAAAAAACTTTATTTTATAATTTTATTATGTAATTGTTTTGCTGTCACGTTACGCCCACTAGCAATTATATATATATCATTTTCATTTTCTGGATCTCCAACCAATATGAATAACATCGCCACCTACTACGCCAATAATTAAATTAAACAAACTAATTATACAGAGTTTAACCGATAATCCTAATCATATATTTTTAATTAAAAAACAAAATACAATTCTTATTATCCCCCCATTCTCACCCCCACGTGTTCCGCTTCCTCACCCCGAAAGGGAAGGGGGTATTTTGGTAAATTAAACTATCAACAAACTTTCCCGGTGTGCCTTTCAACTATGACTCAATCCACGTAGCATTCCGGAAGTCACATGGGGGGCCCAATCATTGGTCACCACGTGGCAGTCACTGAATGGTCAGAACAGCCGCCATACCCGACAAAATGCCAGCAAGAGAGCAAGCGTGCCGGCACGGGTCGAGATACTCAATCGACACGTGGACGGTGACGATGCACCGCTCTCGTCAAAAGCACCTTCGTAGATCATCGAAGTATCCATCGGCGACCACGTCGCCGTTGTCGTCGGAGTCTGAGTAGCCGGCGACGTTCCCGTCGGCTCCGTGCCCTGTCCTTGTAATGATTTCTGACTACAAAAGGGTAAAAAGGTCATATAACGGTTAGTCGCTCGGACCACGTGTCATCTCATGATTGGGTTATGTCAAACTCCGTTACGGATCCATATCCTGATGAATTCATATTGTGGGGAATAGCAACCGGGGGTAAAATAGGAACATCTGACCAAAAATATCTTCGAAAAATCTAAATATAAAGATATTAAAGCGATCTGTTAAACAGAGGAACGTGAAATGCCGTGCAATATATTTTTATAGGCCTAAAATACCCCCATAAAAATGCGACTGATCATTATAATATTAGGCTATTACTTGAGAATTGAGATTAGTGAAAAGATTAGTGGGTTAAACACAGCGGTTAGGCGGAGGGTTAGTTTGGGTAATTCACCTGGTGTTGGGAGATGGGCAGAAGGTGATGACGTAATCCGGGGACTTGGCGCATGTGAATGTGCTGGTCTTGTCGTCGTAGGCGTAGCTGTAGGCGCGTGGGCACGCGCTCTTGAAGATCTGCGAGTACGACGATGGCTTGCAAGTGTCCGGCGATGCATATGCGCCGCTGCAGCAGTACTCCGGTCGCCGGAAAGCCTCACACGCGCTCTTACACGCCATGGCCTCCGGAGATTTCTCCCCTCCGCCGACGGAGGAGACGCGGAGCTCCGACGGGCAGGAACCGTTCAGGTCGACGATGCAGCCGGTGGAAGTGCAGTTGTCGCCGGAGCCGCCTTGAGGGGCGACGAGCATAGGGAGGTTGTAGCCGTCGACGAGGCTGACATCATAGAAGTCGAGTCCGCCGGATCCGTCGAGGGTGAACTCGGCGAGTGACGCCGGAGGGGCTGCGCCGGCGCCAGAGCACTCGAGTTTTCCGGAGCCGCAGTCTCCGGTGGCGCAGGAGAATTTCCCGGTGGCGGAGTCGGTGAAGCAGAGGGTCCTGCCCCAGAAACGACCGCCCCACGACGACGGCGCGTTGATCATACGCGTCTCACCCTTCTGGAGAACGAAGCCGGTGGTGGGGAGCGGAGGAACTCCGGCGTTGGAGAGAATTCCCGGCCAAACTGTGTAGTCGCATTTGTTCACTAAAGTGAAGCTCGTAGATGTGACCTCTACATGAAAAAAAAAACAGAAAAAAGAATTACAAAAAAAAAACCATAGTCACAGTATCAGTAACAACTGGAAATCGTTCATGAATCATACCCGGTACGAAGAAAAGTGAGAAAATGTGGAGAATCAATGGCAATGGCAATAGCTTGGCCATTGATGAAGAATCGAGAAGAAGAAGAAGAAGAATATTTTCTTTCTTTAATGAATTGTTTCTTCTTCTCCTTCTTCTTCGTTGCGAGAGCTTCTGAATGGGAAAATGTGATGGAGAAGCAGGGGAATGTATTTATAGACGAGATTCTGTGATTTTTACGTCTCCTTCTTACTTTCTTTTGTTTTTTTTTTTTTGGGGGGGGGGATTGTAGAGGAATGGATCTATCTAGGCGACGATGGACTCAAACGATACTTGCATCTACCATGTGAGGAGATAGAGACATTCACTCCCGATGGGGTATTTGTACACCTGATGACGTGGATAACATTAATGGATTTGGGCATTTAACCGTTGAGATCTAACGGCTAATAAGATTTTACTGCGGTGATATCTTGAAAACCCGCTTTCTTACAATATCTAAAATGATGAAACGCAAATGTCTAATAGAGACAAAAACGTGTTTTTTTTTAAATAAAAACATAATCAAAATTATAATTATTGACTAAATGGAATGGAGCGTGCACACAAAAACATTCGTGCAAAGAAATTCTTGCCTGCAAACAACTACCAGTAATTCCAATCTTAGTTTAAAAAAAAATGTGTTTACCCACACAAGACACAGATATTCATTTCCTATTCGACACTTTTTTTTTTTCCTGTTGATGAGATTTTTAAACACCTTTTCCATTTATTTGTATATATTTTTCGAAATTTCGAAAATGATTATATATCTGAGTCCGGACATCCTTAAATATTTCAGTATAGACAAAGCTTTTGACGAACGAGTGTTGTGAGACATTAGGTTTTACTCAAATCTCATTTCAAGAGATGCGAGTCATACCTGAAATCAACTACTCAATATACACACACACACACTTGGGACACATTGGAATTTTCAGATTATTTATTTATTATTATTATTATTAAATAACAGTGATGGAATTATGGGTAGTTTTCAGATTTCTTTTTTTTGGTTAAATGTGATTTAGTATTAAGTCGTATAGTTCAAAATTCTTACAAAACAGCCCCGTATTAGGTAATCATTGAGCAAGCTAATACAAAAAATCTCATGTGCAAGTGGTCAAAATAATTGGCAGTCAGTTGCCTACTTCCTTAGTCGTGTTGCGTTATCGCCTTCTAGTTCGTTCCGTCAAAAAGTACCAGTGTTCTAGAAGCATGTTGCTTGCTGATCCTGTCCTGCCCTTCACCGAAAGGAGATTGGTTTTCATCATGCTGTCGAGTTGTTGTTGCAGAACATGTGACGCTTTAGGGTCGTTCCGGAAGATTCGGTTGTTACGTTCACTCCAAAGAAGGTACACTGTGGCCTGCATAGTAGGAAAAAGTGTCTTGGAACAACCTCTCGGAACCAGACCATACGATGCCACGAGACCGTGGGATTGTTCGCACGGATTAGGTTCCAAGTTTTCGAGGTTGAGAAGTTGTGCTTGAATTCGCCAGTGTCTTGCTTCCATAGTACCATATCTTCTCCGAGTTCCGGTCTTGGCGGGTCAGTATCCATCAACGAGAACAGAAGTTGTTGGATTGTTTCTGTTCTAGCCGCCGGAAGTGACCAACCACCATTCTTGACCGCCTCTGCTACTTTTGCGTGCTTCGACAACCGTAACAGTCTCGGCCCAAACTCTCCTATATGGTCAATCAATGGTCCATGTGTTGTCCAGTCATCAAGCCAGAACTGAGTTGATTATCCATTCCGTACTAGTATTTTGATGAAGGAACGTGCTGTTTCCCTCATCGACAATAATTTCCTGAGATTCCAAGATGATGCTGTGGTTGCCTTTGTGTCCCAAAATCCCCGCTGCTTGAGTATATTCAGACGAGTCCAAGCTACCCACATAGACCATCAATATGCGTTAGTACACACTTCGGTAACATAAAGACCATACTCCATGAGTTTACAAGCCCATATATAACCGATGAAACAAGCAGAACCTTCCCTGCGTAGGAAAGGCTATTATTGGTCCAATTATCCAGCTTGCTTTGTATTCTCTCTATCAGCGGTCTATAGTCGTGCCTTGTGAGTCTTGTTGAACTTAGTGGAACCCCCAGATATCTCACCGGCATCCTTCCCCGTCGTAATCCCAACAATTCAGCAATATCAGTCTTTTCCTGCTCACAAATCCCAACAAGATAAATCTCAGATTTAGTTTTATTCATATGCAGTCCCTAGTAGTGAAATTAATATTCGGGACGATATTCCCTTAAAAAGGTTGTTTTAATGTCACCATTTGAGTTACGTATACATCACCCATCCATGTTTAGATTATGAACACGTCGAACATTAATTGTTATATTCTTATACAAATCGCAGCAATAAATTGACACAATTCTAGTTATTTTTTTTTATCGTAATCATTATTTTTTGAATTAGATATTTATTATAAACATGAAAAAATTTAGATAATTGGATTATATGGAATCATTTTCAAAACGATGTGATGTGAAAAATGAAAGAAAAGGGAGATAAAAAAAGGTTTAAATGGGACAAAAGTGATAATTAAGACCCCAATAATGGATAGCCATGCAATATTTTATTGCTTAAACCTAACGGCAAGCATTTTGTTGCATTGTATCATGACATTTGTTATCCCAATGTTGCCAATAATAATAATAATAATGAATATTTTAAAAGTTTTTATCCAACACAAGTTTTACATGTTATATGCGCATATGTATGTATATGATTTTTATTCTCTTGGCAAAAATAGGCCTTGTTGATAAAATCCATATCTTACATAGAATTGTATTTATTGTAAAATAAAAAAATGTGAGTATTGAATTGTTTGAATTTTTGTATTCGTCTTTTTTTAGAAATAAAAAATAAATTAATTATATCACAAAAGATTAAAAAAAGAAACAAGGGTGTAGGGTATACTCAACCACATGGAATCGAATCCATGGGGAGAGAGAAGGAGAGAGCTGGCAGACCCCTAAAAAAAAATCCCGCCTCTGTTTTTTTTTTTTTTTTTTTTTTTTTTTCCTCTCTCCTTCTCCCCCTCCCTGCCCTTCATATCCCCCCTCCTCTCTCCTCCATTTCTATCCTCTCTCTCTCGATCTCGATCCAGATCTCTACATCGTCTGCGCTCGCCATGAGAGAGATCCTTCACGTTCAAGGCGGCCAATGCGGCAACCAGATCGGATCCAAGTTCTGGGAGGTCATCTGCGACGAGCACGGCATCGATTCTACCGGCCGATACAGCGGAGACTCAGCCGATCTCCAGCTCGAGCGTATCAACGTCTACTACAATGAGGCCTCCGGTGGAAGATACGTGCCACGCGCAGTCCTCATGGATCTCGAGCCTGGCACCATGGACAGCATCAGATCCGGTCCCTACGGTCAGATCTTTCGTCCAGACAACTTCGTCTTCGGACAGTCCGGCGCCGGTAACAACTGGGCCAAGGGTCATTATACCGAAGGCGCCGAACTTATCGATTCCGTTCTCGATGTTGTTCGTAAGGAGGCTGAGAACTGCGACTGCTTGCAAGGTATACACGAATCGTGTTTCTCCGTTCGTTTGGTTTTCGTTACCGTTTTATTTTGCTCCCGTTGCATGTTTCCTGAAAATTCAGAAATCTTAGGGTCCTTGTATGAGAATGGAATTGGTGATGTTAGATTCTCGTTTTTTTATTTCATCTATGGCTTTGCTGTTTCTTATCAATTTTCGTGCCTGGTTTTCTGCATCTTTGATTTTCTCACACGCCTGCCTCGCTCTCGCCGTCATATAACTCTCATTTTATTTGGAAGCTAAGAGTAAGTATCAATGTTTCACTGATTGACGCGATTCGTTTACGTGGTTCGATATTCATATCCGTGTAGAGTTTTCAATGATCTCGAGTTGCGTCTTTTGGCCCATTCCTTTTCACGATTCTACAGGTTTGATCATTCCTCGTGATGAAACATCACTATGGTTCATAGCTACAAAAAGAATCACGATTGCAATATATTCATACCACGGTTTGAGAAGTTTCCTGCACCAACTAAATCACGGGCATTCGCATTTTGCGAATTTGTTGCATATTTCCCAGTCAACTAAACATTGGTTCCTCTGCAGATTTTTTGTTTGTTTCCTGTTTCTTTTGATTTTCATGTTCTTTGTGGGTTCTTCCTCAATAATTCATTCCATCAAAGCGCAATTGCGGTTCCTACATGGGAATGCGTGAGGATGTGATTTTTTTATTCAATTTACAAAAATTTATGAGATTGATTCGGTGTCTTGACTGTGACTTTTGAACAATCAGAGAAAATCCGTGGCTCCCACGATGAGATTTTTGTGAAATTTTATCGAAAATTTTATTTCACTTCTTGCATCTAGAGACTTTTTAACTGCGTCGGTAGTGTGTTGTGGACTCATACCAAAGTTTGCTCCACTTTTGTCGCGGTGTTACTGTAATTTTCGTTTAATGGCACTTTAGGAGGATAGTGACTTGATATTGTCGAGGTGAAACATGGTATTTTGTGCATTAATTTAATAGTGAAGTGGGTCAGCACCATTGTCTTTTCGTATTCATGACCACATACCAAGAAATCTTATCTTCATTTAAGTAAAACCCTGAAGTATCTCCCTGAATTATTGGATATGGACAAAAAGGGTCACGGTTTTACATTACCTCATATATGAATTTTTACTATTTTTTTTGGTAGATAACGAATTATGATCATATTCATACTTCTGGTAGTATATTGCCTAGAAACACTGAACTTGATTTTCTCGAAAGAGTTACCTCATAGTATCTCTCGTCTTTACCTTCTCATGACTCATCAGCACGCTCTCTCTGTTTTACTAAAGCTGGAACAGTTCCAGCAGGCAGATCTTTCTTGGCGGCTGCATTGGATTTTTCCGTCTTGCCATTGATGCTGTTTGTACGAGTCGTGCATCGGGTTAAAACCGGTGTAATCTTAGAACTACGAGATTTCTGTTCCATGTGGAATCGTTAATTTTATGTCACGGTTTGAACACATTTTGCTGTATTTAGATGCCATTTGACTATGGCGATTTTGTATACTGTCCTCTTTTTTCTTTCCGGGTCTGTCATATCTTTGTTCTTGATTCAGGTTTTCAGGTGTGCCATTCGCTCGGAGGAGGCACTGGTTCTGGAATGGGGACTCTTCTGATATCAAAGATCAGAGAGGAATACCCAGACAGGATGATGCTCACATTCTCTGTTTTCCCATCGCCAAAGGTCTCCGACACAGTTGTGGAGCCATACAATGCCACACTCTCTGTCCACCAGCTCGTGGAGAATGCCGATGAATGCATGGTCCTCGACAATGAAGCTCTCTATGACATCTGCTTCCGCACCCTCAAACTCAGCACTCCTAGCTGTGAGTATAGAGATTAGATCATATAAGATAACACATATAAGACATTTCCAAATTAGATATTTGTGTTAGTCCACATAATCATCATTAAAAAATGAATCCGACAAATATCTCTGTGGTGTTGTGCAGTTGGAGACTTGAACCACTTGATATCAGCAACTATGAGTGGGGTGACATGCTCTCTTAGGTTCCCAGGACAACTGAACTCAGACCTGAGGAAACTGGCAGTGAACCTGATCCCATTCCCTCGTCTCCACTTCTTCATGGTCGGGTTTGCTCCCTTAACCTCCCGTGGCTCCCAACACTACATCTCCCTCACTGTCCCAGAACTCACCCAGCAAATGTGGGACTCCAAGAACATGATGTGTGCCGCTGATCCACGCCATGGCCGCTACCTCACGGCCTCTGCCATGTTCAGGTAACCAATCCAACCCAATAATTATCATTATTTAGAAAGTTTGTTTGGGACATTTAAGTTAAACGGTTTAATCTATTAAAATTATGGGTTAAAGCGATGAACCCAATATGATTATACAGTATACACCGTAATCCAAATGGGTTGGACCGGATTACTCTTTTTGACATCTCTATATCTCTATAAACCCTGGTGCAGTTGTCAAATGGTTTAACAATTATGATCATACATAGGCTTGGGTCATTTTAATTAAATGGTTTTAATGGTTTTTGCATCTCTATATATCTATGTTAAGGGGAAAGATGAGCACGAAGGAAGTGGACGAGCAGATACTAAACGTACAGAACAAGAACTCGTCATACTTTGTGGAGTGGATACCAAACAACGTGAAATCGAGCGTATGTGACATACCGCCGAAGGGGATAAAGATGGCGTCGACGTTTGTGGGGAACTCGACATCGATACAGGAGATGTTCAGGAGGGTGAGCGAACAGTTCACGGCTATGTTCAGGAGAAAGGCGTTTCTGCATTGGTACACGGGCGAAGGAATGGACGAGATGGAATTCACGGAGGCAGAGAGCAATATGAATGATCTTGTGGCTGAGTACCAGCAGTATCAGGACGCCACTGCTGACGAGGAAGGTGAGTACGAGGATGAAGAGGATGGATACGAAGCTGCTTGATCCGAGGATGAGATTTAAAAAAAAAAAAACATTTGTGTGGTATGTCTCTCTCTCTCTTTTTTTGGCGTTTTGTTCTATTGACGCACTTAGATCTCTGGCCTTCTTTATATTTGCCGACTATATATACATATTTGTATGTATGCATGTATTTGTCACTGTTGAATTGGTGCGATATGGAATTTTTGTTTGTGTGTGATGTTTTTTTTTGTCGAGCATTGTAATAATAAGAATGTTAAGGTAGGGCTTGTTAAATTTTTTATTTTAGAAATGGCGACATAATATTTTTTAAAATTGCATTCATATTTGAAAGTGATGTCACACAGTAAAAGCATTTATGGTTAATTAATTCTAAATTTTGCAAAAAAAAAAAATGAAAGAAAAAGAAAAAAAAAAGTTCCGATAGGAAAAACAAATATTGATTTGCATTTCTAATGATATGAACTTTGAGTACTCGGCTTCCTTTTTGCTATATCTCTACGTTCTATTCGAATTTTGTTATAAAAATATTCATTTTATATCGAATCAAAATGTTAGATTATTTAATTATTTGATTTCAGTTTGAGTTTGATTTTTTCTAATTTTAAATATATCTCCACATATCCCACTCTGTTATGCAAAACTTGGAGGAATGTACAAAATAAAATAGGGACTTTGTGGGTGAGAGACCAAACCTACGACATTAAGTGCAAGTCTTTAGATCTCACTTCTGAATCAATTCTTAATTAGTTCTTAAGAATACAATGGGGACAATTCAGATTCAGAATCATTACCAAATAGAGAGATGCTGTTTTGGGCAAAAGACTACTTGGCTCTTGGTTTCTTAGATGCTCTGCTAACCAGGAAATCATCATCTGAATCATCATCACCTCGGATCTTCCGCTTCGTAGCAGTTGCTTTCCCGTCGTTCCCTTTCTTTTTCCCCGAAGAATCTGCCCGGGGCAGTTTCCCGACAGTTGCGGGTTTCGTGACCCTTCTGGGAGTGGATGAAGTTGGTTTTGCTGGAGAAGCGAACTTCCCACCCTTCATCTGTTTCTTCTCCAACACTTTCCTTGCTTCTACTACCGGCAGCAACCCAGACTCCATCATCCTGTCGTCACATTCAAAACCCGAAAAAAGTTTCAAACATAAATGATCAAGATCCAAGTGATGAATCAATCGTGAAGTTTGAATATTGAGTCCATACAAAAAAAAGCATTTCCGAGATCATTTTCTGCACAACAACTCCTTTGACAGAAAAGTAGGGAATCAGGGAATTCGTTCTGATGAGAACAATGTCCGTCTCTCAAGGATTTAAACCTATATAAACTCGAGAAGAAACTAATGCCAATCCAACAATGAAACAGAGGGATACAAGTAATTGCAAGATAAGAAGAAACAGGCAAAAAGCTCAAAATCGGTAGATGGCAGGGTCTTCAGCCTGAGAATAGCCAGACCATGAATGGATTACAGATTCAATTACGATTTCAAGAGAGCTTCCCCCTACGGTTTGTCCGAACAGCTTAACCAAAGGGGCATTGAACAATATGCGTAAACATTGAAGTTCCTTGTCCACTATAACCCAGGGAATGCACCATTGTCGTAAACCCATCAAAGAAAGCAGACAGAAAGGAACAGAGCAAGCTCACCAGATCTGTGCCATTTCGCTCGTAGGAATCTGCTTGTAGAGCGACTCGTAGAAAATTCTCAACGGATCTCTCTGAAATCACCAAATCCAACAATCCATCAAAGAAACTGAATTAACAACCACCCATCAGACAAGAGAGAAGCCATCAAGACAAAACTGCTTTGGCATCGTAAATTTACAGACAGAGAAATCAAAGATACCTCTTCAGGCTGGTCTCTCTTCTGACCAGGCAAATCATACATTTTCTTCTCCCTCTTTTTCACCTCTCCCTGTGTTGCTGCAGCTCTCTTCTTGCCCTCTTCTTCCTTCTTTATTTTCCTCTTCTTCAACTCTTTCTCCTAAACCCACAGTGCCATCATTACCATTCAATTCTACCATCAACACAACTAGTATTTCTTTGTGTTTACATCAATTTTCTCAGCATCCAAACAGAAGCTAAGAGTGTAAGCAGACACAGTCACAGAACAGAAAACGAAAAAGGAGAACCTTCTCGGCAGCAGCAGAGGAGTTCCTCCTTGATATGGGCTTATTATCGTCGTCTTCAACGTTCTCCTCCTTCTTCGCTGGTTTTGTGCGGGATCCAGAAAGCGAAGACCTAATGGGTTTGTCATCATCTTCATCATATTCTTCTTTCTTTACTTTCCTCGCCGCCGCCATCGCCGATCCGGCATTGTTGCCGCTGGCAGGTTTCTTCCTGATAAGGGAGCTCAAGCACTTCTCGTCAGCTTCGTCTTCTCCGACCTCCTCCTTCTTCACAGTCTTCACACCCTCAGACGGCATTTTCCGATTCAAAACAACGCAATCGATCGGAATTCAGTTCAGATTATCTGCTCGTTCTCGGCGAGTGAGACGAAACTGACGGCGGCGAGGAGAGTAGTGACTGGTGAGTGCTCTTTCTCCTCCCCGATTTGGTTTCTCGCCGTCAATTGTTGTGCCCTAATCCCTAAACAAGAGAACCATAAACGACGCCGTTTTCGGTTTTCCAAACGATAGAAAACAAACCATATCACTTAACCGGATCAGAATTCGAATTGGTTAACGGCCTTATATGAATGCTATTTTGTAATGTTTATAACTGATGGAAACCTCGTACTAAACTAAAGGTGTAGATATTTCAATTGATCTGATCTAATCTAATATTTTGATATCTCGACTTCGTCTTGGATCTCTAATTGATCTGATTTTTTGTTCCGTATATCTACGGATAAACTTAGAATCCCGATGATAAGAGTCCCACATCGTTATCGTTAGGAGAAAAGAAATTGAGATCAATATATAAGGAGGATCAAACATATTATTAAACTAGTTTTTGTAGTGGAATTAGGACATAACAATATCACTTGGTATCACCCTAACTCTCTGTTCTTCGGTGGATCTTTGATGGCCGCAATGCACTGATCGTCCTTGTCTAAAGGGACGATATTGATAAGAGTCCCGCATCAATGGAAGAGAGACACTTGGAACCAATATATAAAGAGGATCAAAGTTCCGCTCTTGTTCTAACTTTTGTGGTGGAGCTAGGACCAAACTATATCACCGAGATGCTCGGATACGGGGTTAGATACCTCGAAATCTCGGATCTCCGACCTGTACTAACCCTAATTTTAATAGATAAACTGAAATTTGATCTAATCCTAATTATAAATCACATGAAGTCTCACCGCAAGCAATTATCAGACATCCTAACTCTGCTACAGAATTATTTTTTTTAAAAAAAAAAAGATAATAGAACAAACAAACAAACAAACTAGCTACAAATGAAAAAGAAAACCCGAAGACCCTCACCTCAAAGCTGCTCGAGATCGATTTGTATGAATGGTCATACTCCATTGTTACACCACAAAACCTTTGCTCCCTCTCTTGCTGTCATCCTTTCGGGTTTTCCTCCTTTCCACCCGAGACCCCCCCCCCCCCCCC